GAACCATCTGTAAGGAGCTGGTTTCCTCTTCTGGAGTACAAGTATACATGAATGCAGAATACTACATAAATAAATAAATAAATCTTTAAAAAAATAAAATAAAAAACAAGTGACTTTTTTCAGGTCTGGCATAGTAGTACACATCTTTATTCCCAGAACGCGGGAGGAGCAGACAAGCAGATATATGCGAGTTTAAGGCTAGCTTGATGTACATAGTGTTATGAGGTATCCACCGGAGAAGGGCACTGGGACACTGATTCAAGCTAATAGAAAGTTTTTATTAGCTGGCTGACTACTACCCTGGGTGTTTGAAACCCAAGTACAGTCGACCGGCTTCTCATTCTCCTTTTGTTTTTATGGGATACCTATTCTTTGGTTGTCAACTTGACTACATCTGGAATTAACTAAAATCCAAGTAAAAAGATCCACTGTTTTTTATTTGTTTGTTTGTTTTTGTTTGGAGGCAGGATTTCTCTGTGTACCCCTGTCTGCCTCTTCCTCCTGATTGCTGCTATCAAAGGTATGCGCCACCAAGTCTCTCTGAAAATCCACTTCTAATCCTGACCTTTGAGGCAGATAGGCCTTTAATTTAGATCTTTTGATGTTGGAAGACGAGTGCCTTTAATCTGGATCTGGAGGTGGGAATCCAGATGTTGAAGACACATCTTCAATCTGGGCCACACCTTCTGCTGGATGCCTATATAAGGACTTGGAAGGACGGTTCTCCTCTTTTACTGCTTGCTCTCACCTTGCTAGCAAGTCCATTTCTTCACGACATGAGAGACCACTTCTTCGGGATCCCAGTGTCAAAGACCAGCGGAGAGACTTCCAGCCTTGTGGACTGAGAACTTTGATTGTTCATAGCCAGCCATTGTTGCTTTAGCAGTCCCACAGTCTGTAAGTCATTTTAATATATCACTTTCCGTAAGTATCCATATGATGCTTATGACCTTTTCAGACATCCTTACTGTTATTTTACCCCCTCCTTCCTTCTTCTATAGTTATTTTCCCTTCCCCATTTTAGAGCACCTTCCCCATTTCCACTATCATATCACTTGTACCCTGCTATTCCTCTCTCTACTGTCACTCTCCCTGCTCCTCCGAAGTCACACCAGTTTTGCTTTCAGCAGTTAATCCAGATTATGTACCCACAATTGAGGATTTGGAGCTAGGAACCTCAGATGAGAGAGAACATGTGAGATTTGTCTTACTAAGTCTGGGTTACCTCACTCTGATCTTTTCTAGTTTCACCCATTTATCTGGCTGGATCCTAGAGAAGGGTGTCAAGACAATAGACTTAAAAACATGTTGTACTTTGTAATATAGATATTGCTGGAATGATGTACAGATGCCCTTCATGTAAAAAATGTAAGTTACTCAAGATAGCTTCAATTCGCTCACCCCACAGTAAACCTTACTTAATAAATGAACTAGGTGGTGCTGGCAGAGGCTTTTCATCCCAGCACTCTGGAGGCAGAGGCAGGTGGATCTCTCTGAGTTTGATGTCATGCTGGTATGCAAAGCAGGTTCTATCTAGGATAGCCAGGCCTATATAAGAGATCCTGTCTCAAATCATCATCATCATCATTCCAAGCTTTTCCCCTCAGCTCTTCCTGGCTTCCTTTTCTGTATCTGTGATTTTCAGGTTTTTGTTTTTTGTTTTGTTTTTTTGTGTGTGTGAGAGAGAGAGACAGGGTTTCTCTGTGGCTTTGGAGGCTGTCCTAGAACTAGCTCTTGTAGACCAAGCTGTTTCAAACAGAGATCCACCTGCCTCTTCCTCAGGAGTGCTGGGGTTAAAGGCATGCGCCACCAACACCTGGCTTTCAGTTATCATTTTTTACATGCCTTGCCTAATTAGTTTTTGATTTTAGAGGCAGGTGGGGGTCATTTTCTAGCCTTGCTGGTGGCCATACTCTTACCTCAGCCCACTGAGCCCTGACCCACCACAAAGCTGCTTTTCTGATGTGTTGATCAAATTTCTAATATTGTTCACTAAAGTCATCCAGTTTACTTCCCCTTGACACAAGTCACAATATGCAGTCATTTGTTCTATTTGTAAGTGGGTTTTTGTTTCATTTTGATTTGTTTTGATTCAGGGTCTCATTAAGTAGCCCCAGCTGTCATTGATTTTACTCTGTAGACCAGGCTTTCCTCAAATTCAGAGATCCACCTGCCTCTGCCTCCAAAATGCAGGGATTAAAGGCGTGTGCCACCACACCAGGATGAATTTTTTTAATTTGCAAGGAAATTAGAAAAGCCCTGTTGGTGGGGGCTGGGGGAATTTCCCTGCATCAGAAGGGTTAAAAAATGTAATGTTTGTCCCAGTTGATGGCACAGCCTGGTCTACAGAGTGAGTTCCAGGACAGTCAGGGCTACACAGAGAAACCCTGTCTGGAAACACCCCCGCCCCAAAAGTAATTTTTGATGGGCGTGGTGGCCCATGCCTTTAATCCCAACACTCAGAAGGCAGAGGCAGGTTGACCTCTGTGGTTCAAGGCCAGCCTGATCTACAGAGGAGTTCCAGGACAGGCTCCAAAGCCACACAGGGACACCCTGTCTCAGAAAAGAAAGAAAAGGAAGGAAGGAAGGAGGGAGGGAGGAAGGAAGGAAGGAAGGAAGGAAGGAAGAAAGAAAGAAAGAAAGAAAGAAAGAAAGAAAAGTGATTTTTCCTTCCACAAGGCAGATAAATTGAGAATCAGAACCTGGTATAGTAGTTTATGCCTGTAATCCTAGTACTTGGGAATTTGAGGCAGGAGGACTGCTGTGAATTCCAAGACCAGCCTCAGCCTGATTGAAACTGTCTGAAAACACAAAACAAACTATGAATGCTCACTTGAAGTTCAAACATAACTGCTAGCATTTTTTCCCTGTTTTTGTTTTGCTTTCTTCATTTTTTTTTGAGACCTTGTCTAAGAGGCTAATCTGGAATTCAGCTTCATTGCTGCCCTATTTTCATGTCCCAGATCCTGGGATTAAAGGTGTGGGCCAGCACCCGGACTATCATCGAATATTTTTATTTTGGCAGTTTTACCTCAGAGGCACCCTAGCCTAGTCTCACTTGTTCTTGGTTGCATAGGAATCTAGTAGTCAGTAATCGTTCTGTATGGATGGTTTTTCTGTGCCATTCAAGTTGCTTTCAACTAACATTTACTTACCAGATTCTTTCCATTTATAAGTTATTGCTCAAGAAAATTGGGCAGTTATAGGGTAGCAACTAAACTTCTTTGTTTGCTATTTCTACAACATTGGCATTGTGCATCTACCATTTTCACGTTGCTTTTGCAATTAAGATTTTATGCAAAAGTATAAGTTTTGCGCCATGCTTAGTCTACTAGGTTGCTCAATAATTTTACATTTGTATTCAATAAAGCCGGTGCACCTTTTAGCAGAAAGCTAAAAGGCGCCTTGGAGGAGAATGGATGGGGGCAGGGCAAACGGTTAAAATCGCGCTCCAGCAAGAACTTTAAGAGACTAGGCGGAGCGAATAGTGAGTGACATAGGACAGGGCCAACGAAGAGTCTGGGAACCACTTCCCTCCCTCCCTTCATGCTTCAAATTCTAAGCTTAATTTCCATCCGGGTTCTTCAGCCTCGTTCCCGGGTCGTATAAAGATTGCTGTCTCCTTTGTTCGCCCTCGTTGCGCAGTCGTCCTAGCGTCATTTCTGTTCCGTTTCCAGACTCGGCAATTGTCAGTGGTGCGGTGCTGCTCGGAAGGCCCCGTGGGCGAGCTCGTAGGAGCTTGAGACCGTCGCAGCCCCCTCGGGTAGGAGGATCCTCCTTTCCTTGATCTGTTTTCCTTACAGTCTTGTCATGCTAGGGCTGGAGATTGTTTTGTTTCCCTGGAGATAGTGGTGGCAGACGCCATTTTAAGACGCCCAAAGGTGCCAACCTAATTAAAAGCAGAAGGGTGGAAGCAGCACCCTAGGGGGGCCGGGATCTT